ATTAGCAACATTTAATTAGCACACTGCTTGGTACATAGTCAGTGCTCTATAAATATTTGTTGAATGAATGAATAATAATGAATGACAACAGAAGTTTACAATTATTAGCAAGTCATCAAAAAGCCTAAGAGAAGAATTTTTTTCATAAAATCTTGGTGATAGGTACCACTTATTCCCTAATACCTTGAAGGATATTAATAAGGAAAGCTTTACTATGAGACGGCCTTGGATTTCAAGTGCAGACTCTACCATTTCTTGGTCGTTTCGTCGTAGGTAAGTCACCAAATCCCTCTGAGCTTCAATTTCCTAACCTATACAATGCAGCTAATATTTACCTTACAGCTTGATTTTAAAGATTGGCAATAATGTGTGCAAAGAGCTTGACACACACACTGTACTCTATCAATGGTGATTATTATTATGAAAGGGATGCTGATTTCATTAGCAAGTTAATTCTTTTGTCCCAGAATGGGAAGGCCCTTCCAACACTGGCCAAGGTCAGGACTGCCATCAGCTAAGGTAGGGAACGTTCTCATTTTCACTTTCAAAGTCAAGAGAATGGCACAGATCTAAAGTAGAAAGGAACCAGCAGCACATGTTTTTAAATATTCATAAGGGCTGGAAATGTCTTACTCCTTTCGTTTTCTCTGCCATCTGCTTTTGTTTCTTTTCTTTTCATTCTTATGCCACAGCTGCAAATGAAAACAACCATACAATAACCCAAGTTAAATAAAAAAAAAATCAAAATAAAAACAATCTGATGGGTAAAAAGAGAAAATGAATTATAAAGTTTTTCCCTGAGCTCACACGGCAGCAGAAGCAAGAATGTTTGATGTGAGTTAAACGTTCTGGAAACCAAAATCCATGTACCATGTTTACAATAACCATTTTTAAGAGCAACCACCATTTACTAAATGGTCCTGTTTGCCATTTGATGACCAGTATCTCTAATTCCTAAAAGCCATTCTTCAAAGTAGGTAAATTAAACCCATTTTACAGAAAAAGAAATGGCAGATCAGAGAGATAAAACAGATTTAATAAGCTAATAAGAGATAAAACAGATTTGAACTTGGGTCTGTCTGAATCCAAAGCCCAGATACCACCCCTTCCAAAAATGGGAAGGGACATGAAAAAATTAATTTGGGAAATATTTAGGGCAGATTATTTGTATTAAATAGATTTATTCAGATAATTAAAATCTGTGATTATAGCTCTAATTAAAGTTAACTCAGATAATTGGTTGTTGTATTCGTGAATGTGCAATTAGTCTTCCACATAATTGCAGGGTTTTCAGCATCATACTTTCCATTTATTCACTGCATCCCAGAGCTTTGCTACACTGGCTTCTGTTCTCCCAAAGGCTGCATTACAGCTCTTGGGATCTCTAGGCCCAAGGACCATGACCTATGATACCCACAGCAGGGTCTAGGCTCAGCCCCATTTAGCATGTCTTTGTCCGGAAGTCAATGAACACCTCATCTTCAAGTGCAATGTAAAAAGCTCTTACAGCCTATACTGTTGTCCTGAAAACTCCTAGCAGCATGTACCTGAAGAAAAACTGGCAGCAGTGGTCCTCATGTGTTAATTACACTTGCGAAGTCTATTATGCATAGAAAGGGCACCTGCTGGCAGTGAAAATGACTAGAATCTGCCCTTCCTGTGCAGTGAGTAAAATGAGAGTTCATTTCTACAGGAGATAATAGTTTTCAGATTCCATTTCGTGTATCCCCTGCATGGGGACGTACTTAACATTTAAATCATCTGCAGAGGAACAAACCTCCTTCAAATTTACATGTTTCAGGCTCCTAGCACTCTACTTAAAATGCTAGTTATCCCTGCTGGCTCTTACCACCAAGGATTAAACTCAATGGTGGTGAAAGTCGCCAAGCACAAAAGAATAAAGTTATTAGCATTGACTCAAATTTCATGACATTTGTAGTTTCTGACCAAAGCAGTGGTAGCAGGCTGGAGGTGATCAAATCAAGCCTTGAACAGAGGATCTGTTTTTTCTTTTGGGGTCTTTCATTTCATCATTCCTACGTCTTGCAGTAAATAAACAGATAACAATCCCCACAGGCCTGTAATCATCCTTTGGTCAAGTGTCAAAAAGTTCTTTCATGAAAACAAGAGACCAGGAGAGAAACTGCTATCACACAAACAGAAACTTCCAATATGGAGCCTAGTCACAAAGCCCACTCAGGCTCCCAACATTACAAGTCTTAACTCTGCGTTTTTGGAGTGCAGGTTTGGGGTGACAAGGGCTCAGCAGCCTTCCTTACCAAGTCTTCCCTTCTTAGTTTGAGCTGCCAGCATCATCGCTCTGGGTCAGGCTGGTGGCAGTTCTGGAGAGGGCTAGAGTTTGAGAGGAAGCTGAAAAGAGGCTCTTGGGTCAGCTTCCATGGGAAAGAGTGAAACAGCTAATACATCCTCTAAGCAAACAAGAAAGGAGGCCTAGGACCTGAGATGATAGCTGGAAAGAACAACCGGCCAGAGTAAACACTGATTTTCTTAAAATAAAATGTTTCAATTATAAAAACTATACGTTTTCATTGTAGATATACTTGAAAATGTGGAAAATAAAACAAAAAGCGTGCATAATTCCTCTCCCTCCTCCCCCTCAGAAATCACTGTTAATATTCTGGTGTATTTCCTTCTAGATTTCTGCCCCTCTGCATGTATATGTGTGTGTATCTAATTTTTGGGTTATATATAGACAAACTTTCTGTTTCTTTTTATAAAAATGGAATTATACAGGATATAATATCTATATTAGGGCAAGTTACTAAACCTCTTGGGGCCTTATTTACTGATTGTGAAATGAAGCTAATAATGCCTGCCTTCAGGGTTGCTGGAAGAATTAAACAAGATCACAGACGTAAGGAGATGGTCCAGTGACCGGAGGCACAGGAGATATTCAACAACTGGCAACTATTGTTATCGCTGACGTTACTGACAGAGCAGTTTCTTCTCCATAGTTCTGGGACTTTAAGCTGCTGATTTTAAACTAGCCAACAAGTTAGCAACCAAAACTCTACAAATAATGGAAAGTTAAAGCTGTACTATTTGGGAGGCAGAAGGAATATAAAGACTCTCTCAGTGCCACCAATCTCTGTACACAGAAGCCCCAGGGGTTCCTACTTGAAGCACAGCATCAAGACACACAGGTGAGCCTCTTGCAGGGAGAACTCTAAGGTTTCCCTGTAGAGCACATGTCTGGGGTGAGGTATGTAGGGGGGTGTGCCTCTCTCTGTGTGGGGGACCCTGGTGCACACGTCTGTGGGGAAGGGACCTGTGTCTGTGTGTGTGAGTATGAGGCCATGTGTCTGGGGTTGGGGAGTTATGTGCCTGTGAGGGTGCTGTGTGTCAGGGCCAGGGAGGTGTGGCAGCAGGTTCTCTGTGCTAGGGGACTGGGTGTCACTGTAAGTCTGTCTTAGGGGACATATGGCCCCTCTCCTACCTTTCCTTTCTGTCTCCCCTTCCACCTTCCCTGCATGCTTTGTTCTTTCTTTCCCCCCTCACTCTCCTTGCCCTTTCTTCCTCTCTAAGCATCAGTCTGCCTAGGTCCCGCCCCCCAATCTTTCATTCAAACAACAACAAACACGACTGGATAGCGAGGTCCTTCCCTTTGAGATTATGTGACAGCAGAAATAACCAATATAGTTGGTTCAAAAGCTCAAATGAAACAAGAAGTCCAAGCAGAGAAACTGCCCCATCTCGTGAGAGATGTGAGAAAGGCATGGACATAAAGACCTACCTTGATAAGAAAGATACGCACTCAAGAGAGGAATGAGCCAATTCACTTAGTGCAATGCACTAGAGAGGGCCCCCGAATTTGACTTGATGGCTCTGAGCTACATCTTTATTGAATCCATTGCTTCTTGGGATGAGGATGAGCCTAACACACAAAATGAGGAGGACTATGGAATACCTTTAAATTCCCAGGACAACTGGGCTACCTAGGTGAACCCTTCCACTGAGAGGACTGCAAAATGGGCTGGAGAGTCCAGCAAAAATTATGACTGATTTTGACTCAGTCACTCTGAACCAATGGCAAATGTCCTGAATCATCTGTTCCTAAGCAACAGAGCTGTGACCCCTCAAATGGGCTCCTTTCTCCTGAAGCCCTCAATTTCTGGCAGGCAGTGCAGAGCCTTTTCCTATATGTGTATAGCGCTCCCTTATCAATTTCTGCAGACTGGAGATAATGTCTTCAATCATGTTACACTGGAGAAAGAAATTATTTATATGGAAAACAGGTCCAAATAAGTTACAAAGTCTTTTCCGGTAATCTATTGGAGACAGATAAGAAGGTGATGCTTCTGCACAAACATTTACTGAGTACCTACTGTGAGCCTGTCTGTCTACATGGTGCCTTTTCATGTTATTTCATTGCACCTTTATATAACTATGTATAAAACAAAACTTTATTTTGCAGATGGGGAAACAAAGTTTTTAGCCAAGCGAATCGCCCAAGTGGTGAGCTGACTCTAAATCAAGCCAGTCAGCCAGCCTGTCTTCCTTCTCCCTCTCTTCCCTCCCTCCTTCCACCAAAACACATTTCACTGAATAGTGAAATTCCCATCAAAAGACTTCAGAGGGTTTTGAAGCTTGGCTTATGCTTCCAAACCACAGCTGAGAGCAAGTCTTACAGAACGTGCCAGGGCATGGCTGAAATTTGAAGACCCTGGGGATCTCAATTGTTCTTGACACCAGTTTCCAATCTGTCTTAGGGGGGAAAAATCACACAACTACTTGGTGCTTTGGTTTTCCTAAACTGAAGAACAGGAAAAGCATTATCTACTTGAACTCTTAAGAATGCCATGACATATACAAAAACTGTCTGGAAACAAACAGGCCATGCAATCAGGAGGTCTAAAATTCAGATCACTTTGAAGTCAGTATTTTTAGAGTCACCAACTGCATTACAAGTTACACACTTAACATGTCTGGTCATTTTCTGGAGAAGGAAAAGCAGAGGACAGGGTAAGCAGCGGCCTTACCAGCAGTAGTCCAGCAGGTGCGGAGGCAGGACGGGGATGTACACGTGCTGCCAGAACATGGGGTAGAGCATTGCGGCGGACCCGTGGATACAGGCAGTCAACTGCAACAGAAGCAAGTTAGAGTTTCAGGGCTAAACAATTAAAGTGAGAGGACACTGTCGTTTGAGTTCAGCCGTAAAATTAAATATATACTTATCAACCTATTTAAAATTATGTTAACTCAATAACCCTAATTCAAATCTAATAAGAGCTTGCTTTTCAAAAAATATATTTTTTTCATGATTATGAGGTTAATACACAATGATAGGAGAAAATTTAGAAAACGGAGAAAGGGATAAAAGAAAAGTCTTCACCATCTGAAAATAATTTAACGTTTTGCAGTATTACATACATATGCACTTTTCTAATAAAATCAGGATTACTGTAAATACAGTGTAGACTTGCCCTTTAGGTTAACATTATTTGCTGGCATTTTCCCACATTTTAAAATATTCTTAGAAAACATCTTTTAAAGCCACTCAATGAATTTAATCACTCTTCCATCATTAAGTTATATACACAGATCAGGTCAATAATTTTTATATATGGTTCCTAGATGTAGAATTTAAAGACAAAGGTTATAAATATTTTAAGGCACTTAATAAGTACAATAATTTAAATACACTAAATACATTAATATAATAAACTGATGAAGGATTGAGGCTCTTTACACTTCCCCAGCCATGTACTGGAATGCTGGCTTCCCTGTATCTCACCAGCACTAAGAAATACAATCCAAGTTAGTAGCTTTAAGACTGTATCTATCTTCATTTTATTTTTACTTCTCTGATCATGACTGAGGCCAAACATCTTGTTATATGTTTCTTAACTACATGTTTCTTAATGATATTTCTTAGGTAAACGGACTGCTCATATTCTTAGTCCACTTTTTCTAATGAGAATGAGTAGTTTTTAAATTGATTTACAAGCAAATACTGGATATGCCAAGGATACTAATCCTTTGTGATGTTTTTGAAAATAATTTATCCTTATTTAATTTTCTTTGAATTTTGGGGTAAAGAGAAGTCTTAAATAATTGCATGGGCAAATGTTTTCCTTCATGATGGTTTCCATCGCTTTTATGCTAAGAAAGTCCTCCAAATTTTCCCTCAGGATTTAACTCTTTAATCCATCTGGAATTAATTTGGGCTTAAGGACTGAGGTGAGAATTTATTTTTTCCACGTAGTTAATCAATTGCTCCAGCACTGTTTACTGACTAATCCTTCCTCTCCCTATTCTTTTGACTTGTCCCTATTTCACATTTCTTTTTTTTTCTCTCAAGAGCTGGACACATCATACAATCAGTATTTGATACAACAAAAAAATTAGGAAACAAAGACACAATAGAATAAAATTGCTACAAAATTCAATATAGTGAAAGAAGGAAAAAACCCAACACCTTTGGAGATATGGCTATGAAGTGACAAAAGCCAACAACACATGTTTCTTTCTGCCTTTTTTCTTTAATGTTTCTTTGGTTTCTGGGAAGCCTATTCCCATGAGGACTTTGCTTCTTTTGGAAGCTGTTAACTGGCCTTTGCTGACAGAAGGACATTTACGTGGCGAAAGAGTGACGTGCCAAGGCCCAGTTAAAAGAATCCCAGAGGTTAGTGTAACATGAACAGCTTTAAATTGGATATTCTGCTGATGTTTCACAGTTGTGAGAGCTCTGTATTAAATCCAGGGCCACTACTTTTTCCCCCTGCTTTTCCCTCTAGACCCTGTTCTTTAAATCAGGTACATGCCAGGAACAGGAGCTCATCCAACAAGCTTTCAACAGCAGTTCTCAGTGTCTCCGTCAAGGCTTGTAGGCTTAACCCATCTTTTCTCAACCTATTTCGGTAGGTTTCCATAGAAAGGAGGCTGTCTGTCATATTACACATGACTAATCTCTTTGGAGTTGGAAGAGATAAAAAATCTTTGCTGGGGTGTTGAGTGAGTGGAGAATGAACCAACTTTACTCTAACTCCACCCTGAAGTCAGGCTGGAGGGTTTCACTGGCCTTGGGCCCCAGCCCTTCCTTCCCATCCTTTAACTAGCTGCCAAAGTACTCTTGCTAAAGTGCAGGTCCAGTCATGTAATGTCCTACTGGGAGTGGGCTTGGGGGCACATCTGGTACAGGCATGTCTCCTCCAGCTCCCAGTCTACCTGTAGAGCAGAATCTCCAGCCACAGTCTCTACCACCTTCTCCTTTGCAATAAATCATTTGCAGATTTAGAAGTAGTTACATACTCCTTTTCTTTCCTTCTTTATTCCCACTGGCCCAGGTCTGTGCCCCTAGTAAACCCCTCCTCCCTCAAGTCTCTGTGCAAGTACTACCTTCCTCTGTAAAGAACTGCATGGCTCCACTGGGCTTGTGACCCCATTATTAATGTGACTATAACTGTATGTTTGTCCTCTCACTGTACAGAAAGACCCTGTCTTTATATATATATGCGCTAGATAATGCAATGTTTCTTGAATAAAAAAAAATTCTTACTTAGAATATATCCACAATATAAAGATAGATAGTAGCTTGGCTTTTCACAGTACTGGACTAACATTTTCATGAGTCTCACAGAGTAGGGTATATGACCCAAATTCTAAAACAATAACAGTAAGCTTAGACACATAAATATGCCACTTTTAGAAAATCAAGTCAATGGATTCATCCATCCATTCATTCAATAATATGCCTACTCTGTAACTCTACAACATACCAAATAAATAAAAGCACTTTAAAATCTATACGGTGCCATACAAATGTGAAGTATCATCATCACATGTATTCACTGGTGATTCTCTTTGAAAAACTCATTCAGTAAAATGTTCCTGGTTGAGACAGAACTTGAATACTTGCCTCTTTTTAGCTTAAATTGGTTTGAGTCAAAAATCCTATTTCAAGTGGCAGAGATCTTATCTTCAGACAACGTTCTTTTCATGTTTCCTTAGCCTCAAAAAAACCTGCCAAGCTAAATGACAAGGTTTTAAATTACTTATCCCTCATAGAAATAAAACTTTTAAGATTTCTGATCATCATTTTCATTGAGGGTTTTCTAAGGGCCAAATCTCTGCAATAGAGCAAAATGCATTTACCCATTTGATTAAGAAAACAAACAAGCAAAAAAGGGAATTATTTGGCTTTTTTCCAAAATACTAAATAGCACAAACTATGTGTACCATTTCTTAGGAACACTAGCAGTTAAGGAGACCAAGTGTTATGACATGCTTAATCAGGAATAACATATTACATCCCATAAATTATCATTAGCCACTTTAAAAAAACCTCTAAAACCAATCCCATTAAAAAAAATTAGGGTCCTAAAGGCTGCTCATTCCTTACAGAATACAAAATTTAAAAGTAATGGAAGTATACAATTTGGATTGTAGTCAACAAAGGGGTATTGTGAATATTCAACTGAAGTGCAAGTTGAGGAAAATGATCCTATCAAAATCTCACTCAGTGGGAGAATAGAAAGATAGTATGTGTAAAATTTGCCCAAAGTCATTAGTCACAATGAATATTCATCAGAAGCCAATTATCAATCCTGCTTAATGACACCCCAAAAGATTTTGCCCTGAAGCAGCTGAATAGTCTAAGACTCCAGACAAAACTAGACAATTTATACAACCAACAGTCAGTCTAGCCAGGACACAAATTGTAAAGTAAACCACTGGTGGGTTTTTGGACGCACTTTCAGCAAATTCTGTCCTCAATTAAAGGTGCACAAGGTCAGTCTGATTTTGGAGCTTTCTATATGGCTCCACAGTTTTCTTTGAGGCAAAGGGAGAGAAAGGAGGAGGCAGTGGAGGAGGGACATGAATGGAGAACAATCAACGGTAGAGTGTGAAAAATCGCAGACACATTTTTTTCCACAATTTGAGGGATTTCTTAGAGAAATGCCCACATTGTCACAATCTTAGATTCCAATTCATTTGATTCCAAATAGTAGCTCTGCAATTTAACATGGAATAAAAGTTAAGAGATCCTTTAAAAAAAACAAACAAAAAGAATCTTAACAGCATATGTGCCGGGAATCATGTTGGGGGTTTAGGGCCTTGCAAAGTACTGTTTTATAGGTTAGGGGGGTGTGTGTGTGTACACTCAACATGACATTTCATGGATAAGGAAACAGTCTCAGAGGTGAAACAACTTGCCCAAGGCCACACAGCTAGTAAGTGACAGAACTGGGCCTCATATCCAGGTCTGTCAGACTACAGTGGCCACCTCCACATGCATAAATTAACTGCAAAATGTTTTGAGTGCCTATCCTGTGTCCATACACTATGCTGAGGATTCTGAACGAGGTGACATACTGTCCCTGTCAGCAAGGCCAAATTACATAGAAAGGCATTTGCCTTGCTGTTAGATGACCAAATATCTAAAGCAAAATATCAATTAACAGAAAAGAACCCTTTTAAAAACAGAGTTGATCATTTCCTGATGATGAGCTACATTTAACTAAGGTGTAGTATCTTTAATCCATAAGAAATTCTAGAAGTAATGATTGTTGGTCACTTCTGGCACACCTATCTGAATATCTGGCTTCCTGTCATGTACCCTTTCACATACCTGCATGGAGTTTCCACTAAATCCCTTTTTGATCTGAGTAAGCCACTTCCTCTCCTGGGACTCAATACGGAAAACAAGAGGCTGGACTACATGATCTTTGTGCCCCATTCCAACTTTGACAACTTTGATCTAGAGGAACTGCCATCCTTTGACATGAAGAATGTTCCTCTACTTCCCCAGCTCACCCTCCTCAGCTCCACTGACTATGCACTAGCACAACAGGCCTCAGTGCTAGTCTTGTTTTCTCATCTCTGCAGTCACAGAGGCCCACCTGGAATTCATGTGCTATCTAGGAACCACCACCTTTCAGCCATTGCATCTCCATCACCTGACTGTGGAAGGTACAGCCTTCCTCCATGCTTGGCCCCTGACACTCTGAAGATCTCAGAGGTAGATGTAGATGGTCTTAGGAAACTAGGGGCATGAGACTAAAGATATGAGCTCATCAAGAACAGAGACCACTTTTGATTCCTCTCCTTATCTCTTACAATGCTTGACACAGAGCAGGT